ATAAAATTATAAGCTTTGCAATATAGAGAAGAGGGTAAATGTGTGTACTGTACTAATTTCTTTATACAGTACAATTTTTTTAAATCGCTTCGTATTCAAATTGTACGAATTCTGCCATCAGAATTATTATTGATTCTTGTAAAAATGAATATAGAGAATAATTTAAAATAATTTTTCTGTCGATGTTGCATTTGGTTTTCTTGATATTGGACTTTCATTTTTCCGAAAGAATGTACTGTATCTCCCGAATGCAAGGGTGTATCGATGTCAAATTTTATGCATATCCTTTTTAGGATAGTTACATTAAATCTGTGAACAGAAATTTGTTCTAAGATTGCGGAAAAAATTCGGGGCTCAAAGGGTTAATAGAGTTAATTTATAAGGTAACGTGTAAACGCTTTGGCCGTCCGTTTCCATGTAAACACAGTGTTACCAAAGTCATTTCTCGTACCGATTATTCAGAAAACCCGGTTACACATTTTCTGTGACTACTTATTTATTTGTTTATATACATATGTAGCAGATGTGCCGCGTTTGGATTTAAACATGTCCTTTCTTGTTCTGAAAAATTGTACCAAAAAGTAATGTAATTATTTAATTTTAATAAACAAGCGGTTATGAGTGATTCTGACGATACAGATATTTTGTTGTTAATACCACCCGATTATTATTTGGCTAATGCAGAGGAAAAACTAATAAAAGAAGATCTGGAAGCTTTAAAAAGGAGACAATACGCAAGCCTTCAAGAACTTAATATTTTGGAAAATAAATCACGGCCGAAAATATCAAGAGATTTGACGAGTCATTTTGAAGCAATGGATTTAGGAAATGGTAAAGAAGATGATGCCCTATCAATGCCGCCTCCATCAACTAGTGCGGCATATCAATTTCTACCGCCCACTAGAAAAGCCGAACTTAATAACATAAATGCAAAATTACACTATTTGGAACAGGGGGAAATGGCTTATGCGGATAATCCTTCAGATATATCGAGTATTTCAACAAATACGGTGAAAACACAGTTCGGCCCTTCTAAACACAACAGAGAACAAGTGGGTATGGTCCATTCAACGCCTAAATGTATGGACGTCCCATATAAACAAAATATACCTTCAAAGAAGTCAAGTGGTGTTTGTGAATATAAGGATGATGGCGTTCTTTTGGAAATTGATAATTTCTTGTCAAACGATCGTCTACCCACAACAAATAGTGATAACTATTGGCAACAAAGGCATAGTGATGACTATCGTGCAAGAATACAAAAGCAACAGCCAAACATGGTGGAAGAACAGCACCAAACACAAGGTAACTCCTTGCCAACAACTATGCATACGGGGTCCGTAGAAAAAATTCCAACTTACGATAACCATATATCGAAAACGGAAAATAATCTCATAAGTCTAAGTGAAATTTGGGGAAAAAGTGGTCAATCTACAGCCATTGCAACATCATCCCAATCGAATTTAAAGGAGGAGCAACTGAGAAGACAACATTTGGAAAAGACAGTTCGGCAACTACAGGCAAGATTATTAGAATATCAGCAGAGGTTGTCGGTAGCCATCGAAGTTGATCGTACAAAGGATAATGCTTTGAGTAATGCACAAATGGAAAACAGAAGGTAATGAATTGTTGAATGTTGAAAATGTATTTAATAGTATGAACACATAGGAATATAGAGTAAATCTTTATAGAATTTAGTGGGTCGGTTAGTTCATGGATAGTGTAATTTCCGAAGTCTTGCAAATGCTGGGCATAAAATGTTCCAGCGTTTCGCTGTTCTTAGTTTTATCTTTATTTGGATAACCCTACTATAACGGCAACACCATTCGGTGTTGTTCGGTGTTCTGAAAATGTTGGCTTCTACCAACTATTATCAAAACTGGTACATCGAAAAGTTTGGTATGTTGTTGAGTTTCGGCAAGTTTTTTCAACTAAACTGACTATAATTGAAAATCTTTCTAGCAAAAACTGAAGTATTTTGAATGTTCACCTCATGGTGAGGAATATAAAAAGGTCAGTCCGGCCGAAATTAAAGTTGTATTAGTTTGTTATAAATCTGGGGGTTGGGGGGCTTGAAGCTTTGAGAGTGAAAGATGTATATATGTCAATAACATTTTCAAAATCAATTAACATACTACAATACTATTTTTAGCCTCACACAAGAGTTGCAGCAAGTCCGACAAAATCTTCAGTCCTATGAACAACAACGGAAGCAATATGATGAAAAAATGGAAGCACTACAAAAGGAACTTGCACAAGCTGTTAGTTTGGCAACAAAATTTCAGGAGAAAAATGAAAGATTGGAAATCGAAGTAACAAATTATTCAAGGTATGTTGAAAGTTATTTAAAATTATAATGAATTAATGAAATCAACTAAATAACTTTGTATTTCGCAGGAAAACGAGCGAATCTTCATCTCAATATAAACAAAAAATGGAAGAGTTAGAAATACAAGTTCATGCATGTAAAAGATCTGAGGAAATGTCTCTTAATGAATTGCAAAAGCTGAGGGATAAGTATGCCAAGTCCGAACATTTGTATGAAAAGGTATGTACGTATAAAACTCGAATTATTAACATCCTTATAAAAGAAAGTAAACATATTGTTACTACTGTGAGAACAAAAGGTGATCTCAGTGAATTTCTCTAAATAAGATATTTTATTGTTTCAACTTTTTCTATACAATCCTACCTTCAAGTCTAAATATTATTCAAAAATAGTTGATTATTAATAATATATTCAAATCAATTATTCGATTTTACTTAAAAAATCTCTGGCGTTACGTGGGTTAATATTTAGAAGTCTATCTAAATACAGTAAAACATTTCAAAACGATGATATACAGGAAACATCGTGAAAACATTATATCAATTATCTTATTTTAGATAAAACTAAGATGTGATGAACTTGAAAAGGAAAACTCTACATTAAGACATCAAAAGGAAATGTTGCAAGAATATCATCAAAAACAAAAATCAAGGGCCGATAATTTGGAAAATCAAAGAAAATCACTACAAGAATCCTTGGCTCATTTAACGGAGAATGAGGTAAGATATAACTAGCTTTTCTTTGTTTCTCTTAATTGTAATATTCAAATTATATACATTTTGAAAACTAGATAACAGTGTACCCTGAAGAAAAAATTAGATCTACAACAAAAATCTCTGAAATCGCATTACCAACAACAACTGGAAAATGTAGTTTCACAAAAGCTAAAAGAATTTCAAGAGCAATTAGATAAAACCGAAGAAAATCTAAGAACAGAAGCTCGTGAACGTGAACGTTTAATAGCCGAACGTGCTGTTAAACAATTAGAATTGATAAATGAGAAAAATGAATTGGAATTGAAATTGTTGCAAGAAAAACAAAAGGAGGAAGTAGAATTGTATCGAATACAATTGGCGAATGCCACGAAAAAAATTGAAGATCTAGAACTTAAATTGAGTTTGTATAAATCTAAAAGAGCTGATATTGCTGAAAAACTGCACAATGTAATGGAAACACAGTGGCAAAAGGCATTAGAAATATTGACTTCACCGAATCTAACTCGTTTAACTCAACTCGATACAACGGACAATGAGTCACCCGATGGCAATGAAACGCATAACAATGCTATTTTATTACAAAATCATCAGCACAACTATGAGACACCCAAAACAAGTAAAAAAGAAAATAATCTTAATGTACCAAAGAATACGTCTCCACCTATGGATAAATTACAAGCATACATTGAATTGGTAACTAAACAATAGCTCTTTAAAATGAAATTATTTGGCATTTAACTGTTACAATTATTTTTGTTTTACAGCTACTCTCCAAATCTCCAAGTGATTTTGATAAGCTTGATGAAATTTTAGCTCTAACATCTAAAAGTAAGCAATCTAAGGAGAAATTGGAAAAGAATGCAAAACGTTATTGTCAATCCCGTCAACCGCCATGGAAGTCATAGTTATATTTGTATTACGAACAATTCTTCTTTGTTAAAAAAGTGTTCTTATTACATGGCTTTGATTGTATAGTGGCATCAATGGCCTTTGTTCTGATACTGTTACTGTAAAAAGTGTGTTATTAAAAATAGTTATTAAAGTAATAAATCTAAATTCGATTATGTCACAACAAACAAACCAGGAAAAATATATTTTTATAAATATCATTTTTTATTATATATAAATAATTTACAAATAAATTGATAATCTTAATCGAAAAATACATGTTGTATATTTATTATTTCAAATTAATTAAAGCAATTTTATAACTTAACAATTTTATAAAAATGAAAATTATACTGTGATTATGTATTTATTGCTAAAAAAACAATCGTATGTAATCTAATGATCCCCCATTAAAGTATAGAGAGTGTGTTTATTTCTGTTTTTCAAGCTTTTGCAGACATCTATGTTTTAAATCGTATATAATATTACTCATTGTTTTTCTTTTAATTGATCGAATTTTTTATTATTTAGTAATTCAGTTGGCAATAATGATGTCATTGTAGTTTGTTAGATATTTCTTTATTTTTTCCGAAATAATTTTGATATTTTATGTTTTCTTGAAATTGCCAAAAAAAAAATCTAGTTCATTTTTTAATTTGGTTTTTGCACACATTTTGTTAATTTTAGAGCGAAGTCAATAATGCTAGTTCATACGAGAGCCAGACATGTACTCTTTCTAACACCGTTGGAATTTTCGGATTCCGATGTTCCAGTGAGGAGTTATCATACCCGCCATCAAAAATAAGGACTTTTCTTTAATTACAAAAAACAACAACAAAACAATAACAAATTGATTAAAAACAAAATTAAATTTCCAAAAAAATCTATTATTAGCTACACAGAAGAATATGAGATTAAGATTAAAAACAAAATTAAATTTCCAAAAAAATCTATCTATTATCAGCTATTATTAGTAGCCTTAAATTAGATTTCTTCCTTGACATTTACTTAATGTTTTATTTTGTTCTTTCATTATTTAATTAACGTATATAAATTATGTCATGTTAAAGTACCTTTCTAATATTATTTATATGCTATTTGCGGAAATTTTGGAGAATTGCCACACAGTCCTATTGTCTCCCAAACCTGAATGTGGGAGTTTTCAGTTAGTACAACCAAATGTTGGTGTGTTGAATATGTAAGGCTGAAAATAAGAATATACAATTTGTTAATTTATTATCATTATTATTTGGTGAAGTATATTCGAGTGATTCTCTTATGCTATGCCCAAAGTTTGTCAAAACATTTAATACGTTTATACATTTTTAGATTCCAGGAAAGTTACTACACGATCAGGCTTATTCTGAACATCAATTCACCGTGGTTTTTTTGCGCATTTTCACGTTTCCCTTATTCTGAATCAAGAATAAATAGTTATTCTGCATTACAGGTAGTGGGAAAATGTGATGACATTTTGTGCGAAAGTATTCAATATTTTTATTTATTCTATGACGATTTTGATTATTGTGAATTTAACTCAAAAACCGTTTTTGCAAAATAGTCAGGCGGAATCCCAGTTTGTTGTTCTTATAAAAAAAAACAACTATTTATTGGTGGGGAATGTATGGCATTGTCCGCCGAGGGGTAAGGCAGGGAAGACTATAGTTTCGGATCTCGCCACTGATTCTCATCAGTTTCTTTAGTTTTTTTGTTAGGAAGCTATTTACTTTTACTTAACAGTGAAAAACTCAAATAAAAATTATGAAAAAAAAACAATAATAAAATTACAAAAAATATTTTTCTTTCAAATTTATTGTGTGCATGATTTGGGGGACGAAATAAAGGAGGAGGAGCATATCATAAAATAATTGACCGTTTTAAGAATTTGGGGAGATAAAATATCGAAATTAAAAAAAAGCACACAATTATGTAGTGAAATGATAAACTGTGAATTAATTTAATTCAATCGCAGATATCTCTCATTGCCGTTGTGTCTTTGACATAGTTTATTGCGATTTTTGCCATCATAAACAATTTGTAATCTGTTGTAGTTGTTGCACCAAATATCATAAATAAACAGCTGTTTCATATGCCTATTGTATGTTGCCATATATTCAAACTTTAATTTATTTTCTTTTAATTACAAAGCGGATTCTTGATATTTCAAATTTATATTATTATAAAGATAAAATAACAATAAAAAGCAACATTAAAAAAATAATAAATAAAATATTGAAAAATATTACAAAATTTAATTACAATGGGGCAACATACATTACAACTTAAATTACAATATGGCAACAGGAATCTTTTTCCAACCACCATTTTCGAAACTTCGAATCTGGATCTCACATTTTTAGCTTCTCCTTATGCATTCAGAATAAGGCGGGAATGTGAAAGCGTAAAATTTTTCACAAGCGAGATATCTCGCTAGCGAATATCCAGAATAAGACTGATTAGTTTTATTTGATATGCGAGAAAACATTCTTAGACCGTTACAACATTGAAAACCACCTTGTTAATATTTGTACATAATGTAAATATTTGTAAATACCTTTTTATGTTCGATATACCGGTTACGATTTCTGTAATAAAACTTAAATTCCAACTAGACCATAAACGAACAATACCACCTTCCACTGCGGTCGCAATTACATTAACACCAACACCCTCTTTGATGTAGGAATAACAAACAGCTGTTATACGATCTTCATGTACAAAGTGTTGTATATATCGAGCGTTCACTGAATGCAAACGTAATATTGACTTTCCATTGGGATTGATGCAGACATTAACAAAATCATCTAGATTTTCTTCGGTAACTTCAAAACATTCATCGGCTAATGGCTGAGGTGATGTCGGCACTTGTGGTGATGTGAATGCCATAGACGTATGTGGCGTTGATGTGTCTATTGTGATTTGATTTGGTTGCTGTTGCGACGATGGTTGCGTTAATGTATGTACGGTAACAATGTCACCTAATGTATGACTTATAGTCAATAGTGTTATGGGTGAGTGGTGAATTTCGGCGGGTCTTTCAATTGTTCGTACATAACTCCAACTAAAAAAGAAAACACACCAAAAATGCAATGTTAGGTCATATCATAAGCGTATTTACGCTTAATTTAGTTTTACTTACTCGTTCAGATCCCAAATTACCGCAATACCATCTTTTCCCGCAGTCACAGCAATTTTAAATTCCACCGACAATGTAATGCATGTTATTTCATCTGTGTGTCGTATTAATACTGTTGGACCAGTCCAATATAAATCGGCTCCATCTTTGTGTAAATTGTTTTCAGAGGAACTCAATGAATTTGCCGATGCAGTGGACGATGTTAAATCAACATCAGAATCCATGGCTTTACTCATAATCTTGTGAAATACAGAATTATAGGAAAACCGTATATCTTTGACGTAGCTTTGGCGACTTTTTCCGCTTTTCAAATTTGCCTCAATACTTGAACATTTATAGATGGAAATTCGTCCAGATTTGTGACCAAACCAAAGTTGGTTTGAATTTGGATCACAGCCACACGCTGTTATGTCATCGAAGGTACTATTATATAATAAATTTTTCGGTTTGGCATTCAGTTTATTTAACGGTTGTATACGGACAATACGATCATCGTAGCCCCAGGAAATTACATTGTACGTATCCATTTCTGCACCCTGCATAACACAAGAACGTGACGGTAGACCGTACACAACATTGGTATTATTGAAGGATAACAAATATTCAGCACCAATGAGCTTGTGGGTATTTCCCAAAAGAGGTTCGGGTAATTGTGGTGAGCCGACATAAACGCCCCACCTCAACCCGTGAACACTTGGCAGAATTTGTTTATCACACTGATATGCTAAATGTTTTGATGGCGGATGGGGTATTTTAAATAATTGCTTTGGCATTTGTCCATATGTTTTCACCATAGTTTGAACAGCTTCACGTTCGATGGGATCTTCAATTTCAGATTTAAGGAATACGGCGTAAGTCTGCAAAAGAAAAAAAAAAGAATAAAATAAAATCATTTTATGTTGGGCTGCAACAGAGCGTAAAACATCGAATTATAAAATTCAATTGTATCGTAGGAACATGTATTTTTGAGAAGGATTTCCTTAAGGAGATTTTTATTTTGAAATTCTACATTTTTGGGAAGCAAATATGCCCAAATATGTAAAAAGTGGTTCCAAACGTTTTGTATGTACCACCATGTGGGACATAACCACTATCTTTAGGGAAAATAAACGTTAAAATACTATTTTAGTGGTACATTATATATGTTGAGAAGATAAAACTACCCTACACCCAGGTTTTAACTTTGGCGAGGAAGTCAAAACCTGGGAGTAGGGAAGTTTATTCAATTTTTGTTTCACATATGACGACTATATTTTAAAGTACGACATTTATATTGTAGATATATAATGAATATCAGTAGCCGGCACTTACCGCCGGATGGAATACATTGATCGCTTCAACAGCTGCATCTCCCGTTTGCTTATAACCGAAAATTAAATCAATCCAATGATGTAAATTATTTCGCACCAATTCCGATTCTAATGCTTGACGGTGTATTAAAATAAAAAGTCTTGGATCTTTTAAACACCATGGTGGCAAGGAAACATCTTCAACACGTTCTCCATTTTGTCGACAACCGAAATTAAAACGTTCAAAATTCTCAAACATTTCGGGTAAACAGAAAAATTCCGGTATTAATTCTTTAACATCTGTCGGTGAATCTCTGCTTGCCAAACAGAATGTTGTACTTAGAGCATGGAACGTGCGATCGGGTATGTCAAAGTTGTTATCTGAAAAAAAATATGTTCGAGTGAATATTTAAGGGAAATTTTAATTTTCTGCTTACCCTGATATCGTAAAAAGTAACTGGTGAAGGGAGGCACTCTTACCAAGAAATGTAATACAGTTCCCGAATTGGAATAATGTGAACTATAGTGGTAGGGTTTTAATATCATTGAACCCATATTTGTCATTGTATTCTTTATGTACTGGAATGAAATAAAAAAAATGGAAAATATTTAACACATTTAAGAATATTTCGCGGGAGATACTTTTAATTATTAACCCTTTATGGCCAATGTTGTCCACAGACAACAAAATGTTTTAGGGCTTATATTTATAAACATCTAGTAGATATGCATTCATTGGATTTATTACGTCAAGACATATATCACAAGAAAAATTAAAAAAAAATCAAATTTTTGGTAAAGTTATGAGCTTTTTAACCCTTTGAGCCCCGATTTTTTTTCCGTAATCATAGAACAATTTTCTGTTCACAGATTTTATGCAACTATTCTAGATAGGATATGGACAAATTTTGACATCGCTACATCCTTGCATTCGGGAAATACAGTACATTCTTTCTGAAAAATAAAAGCCCAATATCAAGAAACCCAAATGCAAAATCGACGAAAAAATTATTTTAAGTTATTCTCTATATTCTGTTTTACAAGAATCAAAAATAATTCTGACGGCAGAGTTAGTATATTTCAAATAATAAGCGATTTAAATAATTTGGACTGTATACACAAATTAGTACTGTACATATTTTGCCCTCTTCTCCATATTAAAAAGCTCATAACTTTACCAAAAATTTGAATTTTTTAGATTTTTCTTGTGATATGTGTCGTCCATAAACAGGCTTGACGTATGCAATCCAAAGAATATATATCTACTAGCAGTATATTAAATATTAGCTCTAAAACATTTTGTTGCCTGTGGGCAACATTGGGCCACAAAGGATTAATATAGAGAAGAGGGCCAAATTGTGTACAGTACTAATTTGTGTATACAGTCTACATTATTTAAATCGCTTCGTATTCGAAATGTAATATTTCTGCCATCAGAATTATTTTTGATTCTCGTAAAACAGAATATAGAGAATAATTTAAAATGATGTTTTCATCGATTTTGCATTTGGCTTTCTTGATATTGGCCTTTTTTTCCTAAATAATGTACTGTATCTCCCGAATGCAAGGATGTGAACAGAAAATTGTTCTATGATTACGGAAGAAAATTCGGGCTCAAAGGGTTAAAATATAATACAATTTTTAAGCTTATGTTAAGCATTTTATAACTATTTATGTAGAATCCGATTCGAAGGTATTCCTTTGAAAAATATTTTATTATTATTTTGATAGAAACCCATTTGGACTCGTTTGAATCACATGGTACAGAAACGTATAATTTTAAGGTGTATAATTATTTATCTTTCGAAGCACTTAATTATATAAAGAAATAAACGTGTGATCGTTGGGCAACAACCTAGCTTTTATTTAATATTGTGATTAATAATTTCGAAATAAAGAATATTAAAGAAATCAAATATCAAACCTCACTATTTAAATATAATAAGTTCATCTTACCGTATAGTTATTTATGTAATGCTGTTCATTCTCTTCATTTTGTACGGCAATTGGTTTTGGCAACTTTCGGAAATTTTTTGGATCTGTTAAATCCAAAATATCTGATGTATAGTTAGATAATATCCATGGAAATATTGGATATTGCATGAGATCATTATATGTTCTTCCTGCAATTTGATTCAATGTCATCAAATATTCCCAATTGGTCAACAAACCCTCTCGCCATTGTTGGGTTATTAACAGCACCTTGTTTTGATCCGGTGTTATGACAATTTTATCACAGAACACTTCACGCATTATTTTCCAATCCTCTTGATTTTGTAGCGAAAAGAATAACGATTGATTTGTATCCAGAAATATTTCGAACGCTTTCTCCTGGTGCTGATAGCGTTTAAGCCAAATTTCTGTTATATTTGATATATCACAGTTCACATAGAAATATTTACAACGATATGTAGCCAAAAAGTATAGTTTGTGGTCAGTCACAATTATTTCTCCATCTATCTCTCCATCGACTGGTAGAAATTTGGCAGGGAAATTATAAAGAATTTGTGAATTTAATGATATGTTCAATTGCTGGTCATAGCTGGAGATGAGATATTCCAATGGTCGTGAGTATTCTGAACGCTGTGTAATCGATTTTTTACACTGGATGGTGTCATTGCTCGGTTCATCATAGCTTTGCATAAAAAAGCGTTTATCGAGATCCAAATGGCAGCGTTTGAGGCGCGTATGAACTCTCGATGGTCCCTCAGTTGCATCCAATTCCCAAGAACTGCAATGATCGTATACAATTACATTGATTACATAAATATATACATTTGTAGTAAAATCCCTTACTTTTCACTGTTATGCTCACTGAACCAAGGAGCACCCTCGTGAGTCATCCTTCTGACAATTTCTAACCATTTGTTGTAGTAGTGAGTATCATCGTAATCCTTCATGTGATTCATAATTAATTTACGTTCAGAATTCTGTAGGTAAAAGGTAGACAATGATTTTATTAAAAATGGATAAGAAAAATGTACTTATGTCTGCAGACTTTGAAATTATTGTGAATAAAATAAAGTAAGGCCCTCAATACATAAAATATATTTAATTCGTTTTCTATATAATCTAAATTTTATATATATAAGTATTTCAATTTAACTAAGAAGCTTATTATTAATTTTATATTCTTAAAATCTTTTAAAGTTTTTAGATAGGATTTTTTACTTTTCTTATAACTTTCGATTTTTATAGAGTACCCTTTTAGCGTTCTAATACCTATATTTATACTTTTAATAGAACTCTCGAGGTGGTTATAGGCCTTTTTTAAGGGTACAATATACTCCATTTCCCACATGAAGCTGCGATTTTCTTTACAAATATCTTACCTGTAATTCTGCTACTCTTCTGGTTGTAATCATAGAAGTTTCTATACAACCCAATGCCAATGCTTCAAAACGGTGGACAGTTTTTTCTAACGATGTTTTTTGCTTTGCAACTTCTGCTGATTTTTGCAACTCTATGCGTTGTAATTCATTTTCCAGGTTCCATGTTGAATCATTTTCATTGATGCCCAAACGTTTACACAACTTCGGCAAGTTGCTGATGGGCTCATCTAGATCTTCTAAAAGACTCAACCATAGCAATGCTTTGATCATCTTTCCATCACATATAATGGCGGGCAAAAAATCATCTTGACACGAAATCCATAAGGCATCAACGATAAAACAACGCAAATCGCGTGGATGTGATGGCTGTAAACCCCATGCGATGAAATTATTGCAACGTTGATTTGTGGCAATACTGTAGGAGACCAACATTTGAAATAATTCAATTTCATTTTGTGTTGGCGTAGATTTTTCATTGAAAATCATGAAAAATTGACAGCTGCGATTAATTAAAAGTTCCAGTCTAGTTTTTGTTTCCGACATTGAAAAATTTGAAAGCTGTTGAACTGTTGAAAGGATTTTAAACAATGATTATGACATTTTTCGAAGAGAATGCACAAAAATTACCTTTAAAATTCCATGGAACGTTTGTTGGCATGAAAAATCCATTTAACCAGTTCATTAGTAGCTTTGCCAATATCGATCGATAACCTTTGATAATGTTTTGAGGCTGTTTCTCTTGATAAAATGATAAGGCATTTATTATGTCCCAAATGATCTATAAGTGTTTTAATGATGTTAGTCAACTAAAAAATTAATATTTGTGGATATTTTATAACATACATTAATGTGTCCCATTGATCTCAACGAAATATTCCCCATAGATGTTAGTGTTTCAGCAATGGAATTCTCAATCTTGATATTGTAGGGTGTTGTTCTTGCATATAGATAATATAACGCCTTAACACAACATTGAATGAGGCCAGCTTCAATCATAGCCAATTGGTCATCCGATTCCTTTACATAACAATAAAGTTAAATATTATTTGGATAAACATTCACTTGTAATAACTTACTCCTTCATATAATCGTTTTAGTATTTTAAAAGCATTTTCACTGAAATTAGTTTGGCACGTACTTGATGCAACGGATTTCGATGCAATAGCTAATAGAGCATTTAAACCAAAACGTTGTTGAATCGACAATGGAACATTACATTTCAAAATATTCTGTAGGGATCCCAGGGTTCCACAAACCCATTCCAAACAAGATTCAAACATACTACAATCACACAGGCCAATTGCTAATTGATTGGCTAAATGATGAGGATAATATGCCTTAGTACAAGCTTGAATATCTTGTGGATACAGGCGCTGTGTTAGAGAGCCCATTAATTTTATAACGGCTGAGCGTACATTTGAACTTTGATGGTTTGCCAACACTAGTAAGAATTCAACTTTTATATAATGATGCAGTACCTGGAAAATATAATGACATCGTTATATACTCATAATATTATTGCCATACAGCTAACTTACGTCATCGATATCATTATCAGGAAGGAGACACAGAAAATCTTTAAGTAGAAGTAAAAGACCACTTTGCAACGCTGCTATACCCACAGAACTGTACGAATCGGTTTTGATCAATGTTCTATGTTTACGATTTTGCAGGTTTGACTTAGAACTGAAAACTGCACTGAAATTTGGATATTCACAGAAGTTTCCCAAAAATGAAGGTGTTGCCAATGAATGTCCACTGCTGCTATTCGATTTTCTGGGTGTTTCTATTATATCCATCCCGCGTTTCGATGACATGTCATTCAAACGGATTCTTCTACGCCTTATTTTGTGACGTGGCGATGAGTAATGTAGATGCGCTCTAGCATTACTCCGATATTGTCTATGTGCCGTTGGAGCAACATGGGTGTTATGGCCAGAGAAATTGCCAATTTTTTGTTTCTTAAATTTTGTACGCCATTTTAAAGCTTCCTCAGGATTAACGAGGCGCAAAGCATTCTTATTTAATTTGGAACAATCGGCCACATTATCTAGATTCTCTTCAAATTCATCCAGGGATTTTCTATACGACGACACACTTCTATGAAGTTTCCTTAGGCGATTAATACGAGCTTGTCTAGCTGTATCGCTATCAGTACTATTGGTTGAATTTGACTGGGATTTTGAGTTGAGATTTATTTGTTCCAATGGTTTAGCAACACCAGGTTGAGTTCTCCTTGTCAAATTCTGTTTAAAATTTCTACCAAAATTCGTTGCTGAACTAAGAGATGATTTTTCCTTTATTGGTTTTTCTGAGGATAGCAGGAAATAGAATTTGGAACGGTCGTGTGTTACATAGCATTCACTGGGTTTATGTAGCAAAAGGAGTAATTTCATTATTTCATCCAATAAACTAGGCTTTGGTGGTGAGCCCGCAAATACCGAAAGTATACCAACAAAAGCTTCAGCTGCCTTTTTCGATATAAATACCGGATTTGGCGATTCTATGACATAGACTTTGAACAAATTTAAAAGTTCTCTCATTAGACCTTCCTTATTGAATTGTTCGATATTGAAATCCCTTTGCGGATGTTTCTCTCGTGTCAATGCAAGAATACAATGGAAAAGCATATCTAAGACATCGGAATTTTCTGCTCCAGAACGATGCCAATCCGAATATCGATGTAATACAGATATCAATAATTTGGGATAGATTACAGTAGCTATTGTCGTTTCGTTAATATGCAGTGTATCGCCTTTCTTCAATATCAAGGTTTGTGAGCAAGCATTATTTACAATACTTCTAAGCAATTGACAATCTTTACTACATTTATCGGTTTTTATGACATACCCTATGAGACTGATATAATCGTTTCGTTGAAATTCGGTATATAGCTGTGATTCTGAAAATGCCACTGTTAATAAGATGTCCAGTGACAATGCTTGGGTTGTCGGATTCGGTGTTAATTCGACAGTCTAAAATGTATGAAGATTTGTATAGAAATTATTTTAGATATTTAAGAGAATAATGAAATTTACCCTTGCGAATAGGTATAGTAGATTCGATAGACCACCACAAAGGATTGTTGATATTTGTATAGACTGAAGTTCATTGCAAAGCAATTCACCATAACGCATAATACCATATTGACGACCTGAAATTGTAAATAAAAGTGAAATGATTAGAATGGAAAAGTCATATATCTTTCGTGTCCCAATATAAAAGCACCACTACGAAAATTTTTCTAATGTTGTTCGGTAAGTTCGTTATTTACTTTGGGATTGGGATGATGCAGTAGTGGATACTTCGTTTTTTACATAATTTATATTAAAAACCAGTAAGGAAAGTAGTAAATTCGGACTGGGCCGGCTATATGATAACCTTCACTACCTTCACATTCTACATGTGGGTCCTAACATTTCAACATAACGCAATAACGTCATTCTAGTCTCAATTTGATACGTTGTGCTAAATTTCGTGTCAATCGGACAAACATTAGGAGTTTGGTGCATCATTTACCTAAAAAATCGGACGAGCTATATATGTGAGCTATATCTAAATCTGCACCGATGTTCACGAAACTTAGCACACACAATTCTAGACTTAATACGCTTTGCCACATTTCGTGCAAATCGAACGATATACAGGGACTTTGTTGCACCATTTACCTTATATCGGACGAAAATATATACGGGAGCTATATCTAAATATGAACCGATTTTTACGAAACTTAGCAAACATTTTTCTAAACTCAATTTAGTATGCTATGTTAAATTTCGTGCAAATCGAAAACATATTGGGGCCCTGGTACACTATTTACATAAAATCGAACAAAAATATATATGGAAGCTATATCTAACCCTGAACCGATTTTTACGAATCTTAGCACATATTTTTCTAGGCTCAATTCAATACGCTATGCCAAATTTCGTGCAAATCGAATCGAATGGCTTTGGTGCACAAATATGCTGTACTACAGTGTGGTGAAGGGTAAAAATATTCTATTCATATTCATATTGAATTCCTTTGAGTTTTTTTGTAGTAAGGGGCATTTTCACAATCCTTATATTTGTGGTGTTGCTCTTTACTTAAAAACCAACATTCGTTGCAAAATTGAAAAAAAATGAATTGGAATCAAAGTTGTATGTATGTATAAAACTAATATAGAATATATAAACTTACCATATGCAACATTATCCAATTCCATGCTGGTGTCATAGGCCATTACAACATCCGGTTGCGAAGCCGAATAAGATAAAATTCTTGATTCACGTAACAATTTCATTGCATCCGCAAAATTACAAAAATATGCCGATTGCAATTTCGAAAAATTAAGATATGCATAATTGGGCTTTAAATTGGCCACATGACATTGTGTTAGCTCATTGAAATCTGGACCCATAGCAGTGAGATTTAATATTACATCTTTTAAAGTTATAGAACGATTGAACAGCATTAGGTTTGTCATTGACACATGCATCGGGAAACTATCCAATGTAGAACGTGATCCTGTAAAATCTGTAGTATTGGGAGATTTCGAAACAATACCATCTCCTAAAGCAATTGCCTGGAAGGTGTGAGTTCGTGTTAGCAAACGTATATTATTGAATTGCAGGGAAAGCCGATATTGCTCCAGGCCATCTATGTGCACGCACAACTCCAAAGAATCATTAACCATTTCAACGGCTATTGTGAAATGTGTCCATTTATTACGATTCATGCGAAATTGTTTCAAATCCACCTGGGCACTCTCAAAGTATTCGGGCGATTCCGAGTGTCCGTTGAACAAATGCATATTACTAAAGCTATTGAGTATGACATTTTTGGTTTGCTTCAATGCCTTAGAAATTGGTGAGGGTGTGTGGGTTTTTGCAGAAAACACATCCATTTCATGACATTCCAGCATGTCTGGACTTTCAATGTTGTTCGTTCTTCGATTTCGTTTCACTTCTGGACTTAGTGTGGGATTTTTACATGCAGCATATTCCTGTTTTGTTTCGGATGCAGTTTCATCCATGTTCACATTGGTGTTGCGTATTGTTTCTGCATTCGGTTTACACGTTTCAAATACCAAATGTAAGTTATTATTTAAAAATACGCTCAACATGGCTTGATTAGTACCAATCGATATGATATGGGTTTTCTAAAAAAAGAAGTGAAATATAAAATGTATTCAAAAAATTAATTAATTCACGATCTTACCGTATAAATGTCGTTTGATGACCGTGTATCATCGTCAATTATTTGACTGGCACTTTTGTGGTTCTGCGATCCTTTTGCAAATAGCCAAAATGAAATTGTAAATCCTTCAGGTGTCCATAAACGAGTGTGTGTTAAGGGCAGAATACACGGGGAACGAGTTAATGGTGTACATGCTTTTCGTGATAAGTGATAGTATCGTATACGTTCAATGGCCTCTGTTGGTTCTTTTTCAGCCGTAGATACACATATTTCATCTGGAAATTTGATAAATATATTGATAATATCGAATTAAATAACTAAAACTTTTACTAGTATTACTTGCCAAGTTAGAAAAATTTTAAGATTTTGCCTGCTTTATTTTATAAGTGGAGAATTTTCACATTATTTCTTTACTATAAGTTTAATTATAATTTTTTTAGGCTGGTTATATTCAAGGTTATTGAGAAATTTTCAATACATGTTTTCAAATACCAGATCAACCCGTGATGATAACGAAACAAGAGTTTTTGAAATTTTAGAGGGACATTTTTAATATTTGAATTAAATACAAAAAAAAAAACACACACACATTCAATTTTTTTAAAGAAATACTTTTTACAGTAGCCCGAAGTATTACAGCCCGAATATAGATATTTTGCAATTTTATACCGAATACGCTTCAAATAGTATAGTACATATGAAAGAGTTGTATATACAGCCATTTGTGAAAATCGCTCATATTAAATTTCAGCTATTCTCTGTCGACAATTCTAGGTAATTTAAGATATTGAATTAAATATTGCTGCACAAAATGTTTCAATTGTAAACGTTATTTAATCGTTTGGCAACAATTTTTTATATTCCGTATTACATTGAAGTTGTAAAAAAATTAATCTTATGCACTATTTATATTAATTATAGTTGCCAAAACATACTTACCATTACCGATGGGAAATTCCAACTCTACGCTTGCTGGACATTTTTTCAACGTATTTGAGCATATGTAATGCATATATTTAACCAAAATATCGACAGGAGGATTTTTCGATGATAATATACTGAAAAATACGGTTAGAACTTCTGGTGAATTTAAATCGACTATTAATTCCAATATACACTGCTGCAGTTCCCGTAGACGAATGTCGTTACACTTCAAAATCGGAGCAAATCCTTTAAGAAGAAATAGTGGACCACCCAAATATTCGCGTATCACAAATAGACGATTCACCAATTGTGCTAAATTATCACACCAGCCGGAAACCGGACTTTCACAACATTTTTGACTAAGTTCGATTAGAATGTCAACGACCAGACGACAAATGCCTTCGTGTAGGATATGTGTACGATAACGTGAAGACGGCTGGAATGAATGCCATAGATCGCCAACTTCTGAAAGTGCTTCCATTTCGGATAAATCTTGTATTTCACCATCAGCTTCATATCCTTCGTCGGCGGTTAAATAGAAATCATCTTGATCGTTTTCGCTTAGCTCCAATTCACTGTCAGGACAATTCATTGAAGCTCTTGTTGAGAAATAATCAACGTCACCACTTTCGCCTGAAAGTGGTCGGGGTTGTGAGGGTGTAATGGGAGTTGCCAGAGTATTTTTGCTCGGTAGTCCGGTAGATAACAATGGATAGTTATATGATATCCATTGACCGCAGACACGTGAACTATTACATGATTTTCTTCTTGTGCTCAAATCCAAATTGTGTTGTGTATGCTCATCTGCGGTAACTGATGTTAAAACACTGGTACTTGTTACGACAGCTGCGGGTTCATTACTCATATTGGAAAGTTCGGCAATTTTAAGTAGGCATTGTAATGTTTGCAAAACTGTATTTTCACGATTATGTTCTTCGGCATGCTGTTCCCAATTTTTGGCTGCATTCGCTAGTATAACCATTTTTAATTTGCGCAAATGTTTTTGCATTTTTTCTACTGCGAAAAAAATTAAAATACGAATATTTTTGAATATTTTTTATGTTCTTCAGATTTAGTAAACGATGTGTGAATGAATGCATGTATTTTTGTTTGGGATTTTTATTTTTTGGACCATTTAGAGTACAGACAGCTCACACTGATAAAAATCATACCGGAAAGATAAGATGTTATCTTTTAAATCGCCAGCCTATCATAATAATATTTGAATTGTATATATTGCCACAAGCACAGCAACACACAGATTACATCTTGATGAAGTTTACAAAATGTTTGTGGGGAAGGTCCCTTTCTTTCTTCTCTGGTATGATGTACTTATCAGGCAGATGGTCGATATTAAAATGCCAGCTAGTTAGAGTCAACTTGAAGCTACAACTACTCTTTGCTATTGTGGAACGCACACCATAAATTAAAAAAAAAATGAAGTGGTAATATAATCTACTCTACTCTCTTTTAGAAAGAGATAATGACGATGAGATAGACGGTGAGGATGTTTAGTATACACCAAAGATAGTTCACTTATGCTTATTAAGTAATAATTAACTCATGCTTATGTCTAGGAACTTGTTAAAAAATGCTTCAGAGAACCACAATATACAGTTGACTGTTGTTGTATGTACTAGCTCTTCTAACAAAACAGCAACAACAAAAGCAGTACTGTTGTGATTATACGTCTATACACTTTTAAGTGATAGAAGGTAAAGTTACACTAACCGACCAGGGTTTTCATGTTAAACATATTCAATAAAGAGCTAAAATACGGCACGCATAATAGAAGCAAAGAGTGAAAATATTTCCTGGGAAGTTTTCTAAGATCGATAAAAGGAACACAAATTAAATTCATACTATACAAACATCAGCGTACATCTGATTGACTTGGTACATGCGTACTTAGCTTATACGAAGAAGTCCTTATTTTTGATGGCGGGCATGATAACTCCTCACTGGAACATCGGAATCCGAAAATTCGAACGGTGTTAGAAAGAGAACTAGGATTATTGACATCGATCAAAAATTAAAAAAAATGGCGGACCTTTGAAAATTTTTTTTTTTGGAAAATTGCCGATTTTTGACCAAAAACCAAGTTTTCAGCCGTCACTTGATGCTAACACAATAAATCGGCTATATCTTCAAGAGTTGTTGAGATTTTCTCTTGAAATGTTGTAGGGACATTCTTGAATTAGTGTAGATTCGAATTAACTCAAAAAAAATTTTGACCCCAAGAAGGGGAGGGGGATAATTTAAGAGATAACATAATTTTCCAAATGACAGCTTAGAATAATAGATTTCAGTTGTTAGCAACATTATGTAGAAAAAACATAATTCTTCTTCAATATCCTTTTTGCTACTTAGAATCAGAGTAGGTTGTTTTCATTAATAGTCCATCATAACTGGCTAGTTTTCATAGAAAATTCTAATAGACGGAGCTGTTCTATCTATTTAACAATTCCATGCCATATCTACATAATGAGAGGATCAAACCAGAACATTTGGTGTACCATGTCCTATTAAATACCTTTAATAGCTTTCAATCAACTTAAACACTTCTTATATACTTGTCTATCACTAAACGGAATTCCGAAACAAGAAGACTTGTAAAGTAAACAGGGCCAAATGGGTGATAACAAAGGCACTACTTAACCTCTATATTACTAATATTCAACAACCCGGGCGGTATAAAGATCAATGATGTGTATGAAGACCTATAAGCAATGTTAAATGTACATTTCTACCGTCTCAAACATAAGTACGGATATAATTGTGTAAAAAATTCCGCTATTTGTCATAATATTTAAGATAGGAACTGGAAAAACTTCACATAAAACATATGCCGTCACATAAATCGATTGCATTATTTACATAATGATAATCCCTGATATATCCTCTTGAATATGGGCCAAAGATCTCGTTTTTCACGATTCTGAAAGGAAAAAGTAAAAATGGAATAGGGTGGATAGAATACGAGGCCAGTTCGGAAAGTTCTTAGCCTAGCACAAACAGCGCAATATAAACAGTAAAAAGTTAAGTGTTTTGGAAACTTTCATCTCTGTTATTGATGCATGCTAAATTTTGTTTCGATCTGGCAACTCCTTCATATAGAAACAGGTGCCCAAAAAAGACGCATCCGCAATTTTTTACAATGGAAAAATGCGTGCTTTCATTAAAAAAAAAATTGCGTAAAAAAATTTAACATGCGTTCATAACAGAGATGGAAGTTTGCAAAGCACTTAATTTTTTTCTTTTTATACCGCGCTTTTTGTACCCCAGAACCTGATTAATGCAAATATAAGCGATCAACAAACCAACTGTTTAACTAGCATATGCCCGCTACTTCGTTAGCGAATGTGGGAATTATTTTAAAACCAATACCGATCATAATTAATATTTTAGTACCATTTCAGTGTTCCAGCTCTATCGGTTTACCTAAATCCAATTTGTACCAAATTTAGTTTCGTTTAGTACACATTAGTAGAAGTTTCTAAAACTTCCAACATACCCGAATCCTACATCCAAACTGTGATCCCAACACCAACTTTCAGGATTCCACCTCTAAATTCGAATTCTATCAAATTTAGTACACATAAGTACGAATTTCCCAAACTAAACCAACGTACCTCAATTCTACAATGCAGTGGTAACCTTATTTCCAAACTTCAAATACAAATTGTACTATTTAAAGTACGATTTTGTACTTTTAGTACATATAATTACAACATTTCCAAAAATATCTACATATCGCAATCCGACACTCCGACGTTAATATTAATTTCTGGATTCTTCCTCCATTCACTCCTCCAATTTCAAATTGTACTAAATTTAGTACCGTTTAGTAATTTTCTAATACATGACTATACACTTCCGACCCTACTTCTCAACCTTAATTCGCATTCCAAATTTCAAGTTTTTTGCTCTATTTATTCACATGCTATGAAATTGTACCAAATTTAGTATTTTTCGGATACCTATAGTTCGAATGTCCAAAAACCCCATGGTTCGCCAAAAACAAATGCTACAACAGTTAGTACTTTTCGTACCGTTCTTATACGAATTTCCAAAAACCCGTCCTTATCAGATACCTTCGGGGTAAGAGTGACCCTCACCTCAAATTTTAAGATTCCAGCTCCAACCGTTTATCTCAGCGTTGATAAATCGTCAAGTTAGTCAGTCAATCACTTTACTCTTTTATTAGTATAGTTTTTGTATTTGACAAAGCATCCTTTTAATGTTTCTCCTGTAGCAATATGCTAATTTATCTCTTTCTGGAGTCCATACGATATATATATATATATATATATATTGTCTGTACTTTTTGAAAACGGACATCAATAGAGAACTCCTAAACTGTTGCCTTGTGTAACTAAATGATTGGGTATAGAATACGCTTTGGCCTCGTCGTTCGTGTGTAAATATTTCGCAATTTCAAAGTAATACGTTTAATTTCTATGGCTTCTTTTTGTTCTAAACCAGCAATACAAACGACATGCATTCATATCGTGCATACTACATACATATGTATATATGCATATGACGGTATGTATTTTATAAAGCCGTACATACATACGCGTACATATTTAGCAGTAGCAGCTATAACAAATTCACTTACCTTCTTCATTCTGATAGCCCTTTACACAAATGGCCATTGTAGCTTCAAATAATTTCAACAACAACTTCTTACAATCACCGTGTGTGTCAAACAGTGGCTGCAAATCTTCATCAATGTCGATATCCGCTACGGCTGGTGGTGCTGGCGACGATGATGTGCTCTTATCCAAGTCCACAAATGAATTTGAATGACTACCAGTGAATATTGAACCGAAAATGTGGAAAAGCTTATTTAGAATTCCTTCGTTTTCCGATTCATTGCTCAGTAAAAAGGCGTCGGTGTGGCTTTTTAGTGTGCTGTTAGGGTCACTGGCAGAAGAACAATACTTGTAATAATACACATTTGTATTTTTGGGTTGCTGGCGGTCATTAGCTGAACTTTGACTGTGATTTCTTATGTCAAATAAAATAATACTTTCATCGAGCGAATTATTTGGCGTAAAGGATTCTAACCCTTTGCGTTGTTGTAATTGTTTCAGAAACGAAAAATTATTCAGTTCATTAAAATGTGTAAAATCCGCGATGCTTAAATGTGATGTTATTTGTGATGCACTTGAATGTGTACTAAACGTTAAATCTTCAAATAAAAGTCTTGTGGTTGTGGCGTTGCTGTCTATCGTCGATGCCGATGACGATGTACTAGAAATTGACAACGTTGTTGTTGGTTTGTGAATTGAATCAATAAAGGTTTCTATTAATTCCCATGAAGAATCGAAATCTTTGTTTACTTTACTGACGATAATTTTTTTGGGGCAACACTTTTTGGGTGCCAGCATTAGAAAAGCATTCAGGGCATTACAATTTAGCTGTAGTATATCTAAAATTGTCTTATCGCCAGGTTTAAGCGTTATATTGGAATTAATTTCAGTACTAATTGATGACTCATCATCAACATTCTCTCTTGGACTTGGTTCCTCCTCTTCGTCTTCCTCGTGGGAAATGGAGTAGATTTTGGCAAATTCATTGTAAAAATATTGACTAGTTTTGAGCAGCTCATAATTTAGAGTCCATTGCAGTGCGACAATGTGTAGAATATCCACAGTTTTTAATTTGAGATCACTGTCCTCGTGCGGAGTTCCAGCAGTGTTGGCATTGTCTAACCAAAAGTCTTTGCTATAGCTTGTATTCAATTGTTTCACTCTATGGATTAGACCGTTGAACAAGAGTTGTGCCCTTTCGGAACTATTAAATTGTAACGTTATCAGCCTTCGACTTAATATAGATTGCTCCTGATTCGTATCACCCAAAAATGTTATATTATCAATTCCAATCTTAATGAGATCACAAACTCCTCTTATGAGAAATGGTTCCTTTAAAAGGTCTTCTAAGTGTCGAATATTTTCCTCATTGTAGAAGGCTTTGATTAGGCGTATATCTCTTAAATACATCGTAAAGATGTTAAGGCATTCGTTTAACAGTTTGTTGTATTCCTCCTTCAGACAGGTGTCATTGTGATTTATAATCAAGTGCAGTTCTGGTGGACCTTTAATGTTCTTTGGAGTTTTGTTAGAGGATGAAGTCCTTTGCCAAAATTTTAATGTGTGCTGTGGAGAATGATTAATTGCATCCTTTTTGGCAAATAGTTTTATTTTGTAATCTCGAAATATGGGCAATACTATTTCAGCTAATATCCCAGAAGCAATGTCATTTGTCAACAGATGTGACAAATGCTTCAGATGTTTTAAGAAAAATATTAGATGTGTTAAATCCTCCACATTATGTACAAGTTTACCGTAAAATGTTTTATAGATTTGCAGTAGGCCTTCATGAAATTCGGGCGATTTCAATTTGACATCACATTTGGAACAACCTCCATCCATGCTAGCTTTCGATGTTGTTGCCATTTCGAGGGGACATCTTAGAAATATGGTGGATATTAATTTGTAATATAAAAATTTATAGGCACACTTCTGATAATATGTTGATAAATTGAAAATCGAATTCAGTATTGTGTTGCAAAGGGACAACTTGTAATGACAACAGCACAGACCGGATCTCGCCAAATACAGCATTGAGTGTTCTTGCAAGTCCTTGGGTAGGGTTGGTAACAAAGTAATTACTATATTCTGAAAGTAGCAGGTTAATCTCGGCAATGAAGACAAACAATGCAATTGTTTAGTTTTCATTTTACGATGACTGAGACCTGTGCGTATTTTAACCGTATTATGTTGATTGTGATTGGAATACGAGTTGTGCGCGGATGCAGCAGATAGGAATTGGTCGTATTTCTTGAGATTTTCAATAATCTTCAAAAGACAACGAAATATAATTAGAAACAAACGCTCCAACTCCTCGCCCACATGTTGTTCTACGGGTTTGTGATGTCTCAATAAATCATCAAGGGTCGAAAGACAGGTGTCTATTACCGTTTCATCAATAAATTTTAAATTATATAAATTTATTTTGGAATTCCATAATGACTTTTGTGTATAGATGCACACCACATTGTGAAGAATGGCAAATATGAGATATATTAGGGCATAGAGCAATTTCGGCGTCTCAGCATTACTTTCCAAGGCGGCAATTAATTTGGCAAAAATACACTGGAATTGTATGTCGTTAAGTCCATGTTCGGTAAGAGCAAACAAATTGCTCAGACACATCTCATTCAATTTCAGCAAATAAGATTTTATAATTTCAGCATTGTGTGTGGAGGAAAATACTTGATTGTCCACTCGTAAGCAATCCAAACTAAAATTGAGTGTCAATATGAAAACCGACTGATCTGAATGTACACTATGTGCTTCGCTTTCGATACATTTCATTAGTAGCTGAATTAGAAGCAAAGCAATTTCATCACTGGTTTTTGTTTGGTTTTGAAAATGTTGATAAGTTTGAGGAAATTCCCGCAGCATACGTTGTGTGGCACTGGGATCATATTGTCTGCCAATAACTTTTTCATGTTCTTCAGTAAAGCTTTTATTTTTTGTTTTCTGTAACAATTGTAAATTGCCGATAAAACCGAATATATTACAGTCGTCGGTTAAAGGCTGAATCTGCTGATCCCATGGACAATTGGGAAAAAGATTTATGCATAGATTACATAAGCCATTTTGTGAGGCGACCAACTGCAATAATAAGATGAAAAGTAATTAGTAACCAAACACGATTTTAAAACACATATAAAATTATTAAAATATAAATTTTGTGCAACTTTTCTCCTAATTTCTTTATAAAAAAATTAAAAAATTGCGTGTGCAGACTCGAGTGACCTTTTTTATATAATAATCTAAAAAATAGATCTGTTAATCTCACATTGTAGCAATGAAAGTAAGAAACATCTCTAAACTATATTTGATATATATCTATTTATTTTATATATCTATAATTATAGTAAAAAAGTCTTTCGATGCTCAAACATGCTTTAAAATTAGGAAAGGAATCAAAATATTAACATTATCTCGAAATGTTTTAAACAAAACTTACCTTTATATCAATCTTTAACAAAAAATGCAATAAATGTTGTCCCAATTGATGGGTTAAAAATTGACGCAAAGCTATTATTTTACTACAATCACTGGGCTGTCTCAAAATAAGCTGAAAAATAAAAAGAAAATGAAATTGGTTATTTTATTATAATAATGACAATTTTATTTTCAATCATACCTGGGTAAAATTATGATTTCTTTTGAGTAATTGCAAAAACTGTTTATTTTTCTCTTGTGGCTGGTTTTGTTTATCTTCGAAATCCGATTTTGTTGTTTTCAAATCTGTCACAGACGGTGCATATAAATCTGATTTACTAATTATTTCATAAACTTGTTCTAATAGATAGGAACAAAGTTCTTCGGGAATTGGATTGAAAAAGCTGAAACAAGGGAAAATGAAAATATTAGAAGTGTGAGAAGGTGATTAAATTCGGTTGAACCAAACATGTTATGCCACCACTCTAAGGTGAACGTTTCAAATACACAATTTAGGTCGGTACCCATAACACAGTCCGTAAGGTGGGGGGGACTTTTATAAGAAGATTATATACCAGAACATTTATTCATTGTTTGAACACTGCGAACCCAAAAAACCCGGAATGTCAAACTGCAGTTTTTTCGGTTGGAAACCCAGAACCATTAAAATACATAAGATCGGTTGAGATCTGTATATGGGGGGCTCCATATTAAGATATGGGCCTATATTTAAAATTGTGTGGGAATAAGTTCCAAAATAGGGACGTATATTGAATTTTTTCTGCACAGATGTATTGCATCCACAAATAACCCGAAAGACAATTTGAAGCGATACGTTATCTGTTGTCATGTCTATATTGGAAAACTCTTTATAAGTCGAATATGAAAATGATAATTTTAGGTCATAAAAACCGCAAGAATCTTCCTTTTGCATGGTACAAATGTGAAAAATATATGGAAACCAAATAAAAAAATTATAACATTCAATTTATGCTTACATTTTAAACGACTCATTTTCCAGCAATTCCTTTTGACAAAACTGAAAATTATATAGAAAAAGTTGTAACCAATGTTGCTGGAAAAGATAAATAAGATAAAAAATTTAATTGTAAACTAAATCTATGACATTCAAATTGAAATATATTTACTTTGATATCGATATCACCGCCATCATTAGCAGTCTCCTGCATATAATTATGCCAAATGAGTTTTAAAGTATCGAATAATAGTTCATATTCTTCATGATAACTTGTTTGATGATTACCACCACCACCGCCATCAGTATATATAGTTTCCATGTCACTCAGTCCAGTACAATGAAGAAGAGCAGTAGAATCAAATGATAACTCAGGCAATTATCAATTGAATGCAAACAACATCAACAGCAACAGAAGCATCATCGGTGGCACACGAACGCCAGCTGTTCTTGTAGGGCAGAAAGTAATTGTAGAGGGCACATGCACTTCATTACCACCTCCAACACCACATGAGCTGTGCAAAATGAAGAGATTATTCTTATTAATGTTAATGTGCTCGACTCGAGTTGTGGAAGGAGTTCGCTGATAAGTTTTGTTTGAATTTTGCATAGTTTCGTGAATTTTGAGCAGAACAACAAACCAACAGATGTTGGGTAGTATTATAATATGTGAGTAAAACATGTCTATAATCAACTAAAAAGCGAGATTCCGATAAAAGACTTATCTAAAAACAAAATGTTTTTTATTTGTCTTTCCGTTTTAGAAGAAATATCTAGCATTCTACATGAAAAATATACAAATAAATATTTTTTCAAAAACCGTTGAAAGGTCACATTTGAGACGTTTGATGCTTTCACATTACCAAAACCTGATGAAGTGTCTATAACATTTATCATTCCCTTTGTAAACTGGGATTTAGTCTGACTATTTTGCAAAAACCAAATACCTCGAAATATATATATATATATATATATATACAGGCAAAATTCAGATAAATAAATATTCAGTAGTGTTGGCGGTTTATTTTTTTTTTATAAAAACAACAAACTGGGATTCAGCCTGACTATTTTGCAAAAACAAAATAAATAAATATTATTGAATGTAATTATTATTATTCCGTCTGTAATTTTGATATATATATTGAGTTATCATTGGTCCTATATTTAGGTTTGCCCCCATATTACGATACATCCAAATTTCGGTATTTTGGGGATAACTATAAATTATTTATTTATTATAGTATTAACATTGTAGTAAATACAATGCTAATAATAAAAGTATCTAGCATTGGCTACAATGGCCATCAGCTAAATCGGTTGACAATTCTTAATAATTTTATTAAATAGTAATTTTAAGATGACGTATGTAGTTAAATATCTTATTAATATTGACAGTAGTAGGTGATATTAAAATATTCGTTCCATCGTTGTTGAGGTAGTTGAGGCGGGCTCTGTCGAAAGCGTTGCATGTTTCTAAAATATGTTGTGCTGTGTAGACATTTCCACATTTGGGACACTTGTTGTCAAAACTTGTGTTAATGAGATGTTGGTGTGTGGCAATAGTATGACCCATTCGAAGTCTCGAAAATATGCGCACTTGCTTTTTAGGTACATTGGTAGGATAGACGGGCACTATGCAGTTAGGATTTATTTTGTTATAGTGCACATGTTCAAATAACATGTGTTGTTGTTTAGCATTTTGTTTAAGTTTGTGTTTTATAAATGTTTTTAAATCTATTTTTTCGATTATTCCATCTAACAACACTGGAGCGGTGCAGGCGTACTTTGCTGCTTTATCGGCGTTTTCGTTTCCTTCAATTCCAACGTGACCAGGTACCCAGAAAAGTTTTATGTAGTTGTTCTCGGTTAGCAAATCCCGAATTTTGTTAATTGAAGCCCAACTGTTGTTTGATGTACATAACACCGATTTTAGAACCGATAAACTGTCGGAAATAATTATTGTTTCTTGTTGTGAATGGATTGCAATATTGATAGCTTCTATAATGCCAGCAGCTTCGGCCGTGAAGATAGATGAAAAATCAGCAAGGGTTTTAATGGATAGAGTATCGCCATTGGAATCAACAACTGCGTATGCGGAGACTGAGTTTGTTTTAGATGCATCAGTGTATAAGAACTGCCAAGACGAGTGCTGCAAGGAAAAAAATCGAAAATGGTGTGCGTATATTTCGTTTGAAGTTCCATTTTTTCCTAGAATGCTGAGAGATGTATCGCACGATTTGTCCGAAAAAAGCCATGAAGGGCATTTAGGTTTAAAACATGTAACCTTATCCCTAAAGTTTACTATGTTATTCCTAATAGAATAGTAAACAACTGATGTTTTTTTTAGGTTTTCGTTTTGTTTTTAAAATTTTCGATACATCAGTGTTAATAACGGAAGACTTGGATGACAGGATTTTAGGCAGTAACATATTCCTAGACTCGAGAATTCTATGCTCGAGAGAAGGCAATCCAGATTCAATCAGTAAGGTTTTGATGGGAGTAGTTCTATATGCGTATGTGCTGGCCCTGATGCTATCGTGGTATACGGCTTTAATAAGTTTCAAAGTTGAAACAGGACTGTCCCCAAAAAGGTACAAACCGTAGTCAATTTTGCTTAGCACCAATGTCTTTACCAAGTAAGTAAGGGTGTTGATGTGGGCGAAACTTTTATGTGAAATGTACTTTATAATGTTTAAACGGGGTATAAGGTCCTTTTTTAATTTAAGTATGTGTTCGTTCCACCGATAGTTTTTTTGAAAAATTACACCCAGGATCTTAAGCTTCTTGACGTAGGGAATGCTAACACCGTTGATTATTATGTTGGTGGGTTTACAGCTATGCTTCCGACATATATGTAGAATTGAAGATTTTGTAGAAGAGATTTTGGCACCAGATGTTTTGGCCCAAGTGTTGATATCATTTATAATGTTAGAAAATTGAATGTTGGCAGCATCGTTATCTTTATTCGAGCTCAGAATGTATAGGTCGTCAGCGTAAAGGCAATGATATATTTTAGGATATTTGTTTATGATGTTGCTGATTTGGTTAAAGGCTATTTGAAAAAGCACTACCGACAGTGGTGACCCTTGAGGTATACCATTATTCATAGCAAACTGGTTTGAGTAATAGGTATTGATTTTGACTTTAAAAGTGCGCCCAGTCAAAAATGACTTGATGAAATTTAAAATTTTCCTTCCAACTCCCCATGATTTCAGCGAATCTAATATTATATGTATACCGATGCGATCAAATGCTTTTTCAAAGTCTATCGAAAGTACTGATGTGTGACTTCTTGCTGATATGGATTTGGATGCATAAAAGTCGATGTGTAAAAGTACGTCTGTACAACCTTGGTTTGCTTTATAAGCAACTTGATTAATAGAAATTAAATTGCGAGCATTCAAAAACCATGATAAGCGGTTGGAGATTATCCTTTCCAACAGTTTAGACAGGCAGGGCAGCAAAGATATAGGCCGGTATCCAGAAAACTCCGTTTTACTTTTATTTGGTTTGGGCAAAGGAACTATGACTGCCGATTTCCATGAATGGGGGATGATTCCGGTATCAAAGACCGAGTTGTAAAAAGAAAGTAATTTATGTTTGCTCTTGTTAGATAGATTCTTCAACATGGGATACGAAACATTATCGCGTCCTGGCGTTGTGCCTTTAACTTTACCAAAAGCTATTTGCATTTCATTAAATACAATTTCACCCTCAATTGTAGCAGCTTGCTTATTTGAGGCAGGATTAGAAAAGGATGCAAGATTAAACTTAGCAGCGCAAAACTCCGGAGAAAAGTTGCTATTTGATGATTCGACCGACCATTTATTTCCAAAATGGTTGGCTATATCGATGGGATCGTTGATACATATGTCATTGGATATCATTGACGTGAAAAGGTTGAAGTTACCTTTTCTAGATATTTTGTTAATTTTATGCCACACAAGGCTGAGAGGTAGATCACGGCTAATAGTTTTTGTGAAATTATAAAAACACAATGCCTTTTGTTTTTTAGATACAAATCTAAATTTTGCGTTGGCCTTTTTGTATAAAAGAAGATTATCGGGTGAAGGAGCCTTTTTAAAAGCACGATAGAGGCAAACCTTGTTCTGGCGTAGGGTGTATAACTCCTTATTCCACCATGGAACAGATCTTTTGGTTGTATGTCTAGTAGTTGGGATACTATTATTGGCTGCATTTCTAATTGCTTTCGTGAAAATGGCATTAATTTTGTTGGGATTTCCGATAAGAGTGTTGGCATCTAGTGAAGTGTCAACATCCATTTTAAAAGAGTTCCAATTTGCCTTCTTGAAATTATGTTTATAAAATGGTTTAAACTTTGCGGCAGGTGTACCAAAATCAATGTTGGTGATTATTGGAAAATGATCACTACTGTAAAGGTCATCTAAAGTATGACTACTTGCCATGGATAAAAGCGAAGGCGAACAGCATGTTATGTCTATGTAGGTATGTGTTCCGAACGTAGATAAATGTGTGGGTTTGCCATCGTTTAGTATACAAAGGTTTTGTGCATTTAGGGCATTTTCCAAAATAAGTCCCCTTGAATTACTTCTGTTGGATCCCCAAATGATGTTCCAGCTATTTACATCGCCAAGTAAAATTATTGGAGTTTTTATGTTGATGAATAGGTTTAATATGTCGGAAACCGCAAAGGTTTCGTTGGGATGGATGTAAATTGAAATAATGGTAAATTTTATTTTTAAGGAAATCTCAATTGCAATATTTAATATTTTGGAGTTATTTAAAATTCGCTTATGAGGAATATTTTTATTAATAAATATAGCAACTCCGCCTTTTGCCGAGATATTTTCCTGTTTATTTGCTGCGTATGGAGTGAAATTACGAGGGGAGATCGGTTGTGAATTGTATGATAAATGTGTTTCTTGTAAAGATATGAAATGGGGATTGTGATCTTTTAATAACAGTTGAAGATCGATGTAATTATTAATTAAACCTTTTATATTCCATTGAATTATATTAAACTGATTCATTGGGGAGATATAAAAGAATAAGAGTGATGAGTGTAGAAAACTCTATTCAGACATTAATGAATCTTTAAGATTGTCTACCGCAGATCTTCTTGCAGTTATTTTTGCTGGTTTATTCTTCTTCGTATCTTCTTCATCGGAGATAGATACATTTGTTGAAAAGGTATTTCCGTGTGTTTTGGTGGTATTTTTAATTGACTCAAGTTTGGAGTTAAATTTATTGAGTAATTGTTCTGAGTTTATAGTTGTTTTCGTTGTGATGGTATTTGTTTTTGTATTTGTTGTAATATTTTTACTTGTGCTAGGTTGTTCT